AACAAGAGTAACGACAGCCCTGGGGCACTTGTAACTTGGCAAGCCCCACTCAGTTACTAGATGAAAGTCCAATGAACCATCTCACTCTCAGTCTTGGAAACCACAGCCCAAAAGAATCATTCATCCATAGTCGCCCACAGCAGGAACTAGAGCAGGGGAGATAGGGCGGACCTATGACTCCATCCTCCCACCTGGTGAAGTCCCAGGAGGGCAGACAGGCAGGCGGGCAGGCAGACCTGATGCAGGCCTGCGTTGGTGGTGGCTGGTCCCTGGGGGTTAAGACTGTGGGTAGAAGTTAGGAGGGGGAGGCTTAAGCAAAACTGCACACAGTTTAGTTTTTTGCTGTCTGTGTCCTAAAGGGAGTAGGTGTAGGGGGACTGATGACCTTTTATTATAAATAAGATTCAAACGCGGCGAAAAGAGGGCATCTCTAAGGATGGAGAGGAGAAAAAAGGAGGGAGAGGAAGAAAAAGGAAAAGAGAAGGAATAAAGAGGACAGAGAAATTGGGGGGAAAGACAGGGATATAATAGAGGGAGAAGGAAAGAGGAGGGGCAGGGAATGCAGTGGAGAGTGGAGGGGCAAGAGGAGAGACAGAATGTGGGGCATGATGGACACTCACAGGGAAAGGAAGCAAGAAGAAAGGCTCAGTGCTTCCTAAAGGGAACTGCTGAACATAAAAACGAACAGGCAGTACAGGAGTGGGATGAGTCTGCCAGAAATAGAGCTGGCAAGGTTTGAGCCTCAGCAAAGGGGACCACACAGCTCAGGGTGGTAAGCTCCAAGCCCCAGGATGGGGGCCACACTTTCAAGACCTCCTTCTCCAGTTACCCTGTGGCAGCCTCCCTAGGGCCTGGAGCTGTCCAGATGCCTGGTGCTAAAATGTCTGGCTGATCACTGGCTTCTCAGACAGAGGCTTGCAGTCATCCTGAAACTACTTGCTAAGCACCCACTGTATGCCAGACAATATTCCAAGCACTGCAGAAGTCAGCAGTGAATAAAACAAACAAGAATCCCTGTCCTGATAAAGTTTATTTTAGTGGAGAAAATAAGACACACAGTAGTGTGTCAGTAAAGTCCTATGGAGAAAAAACAATCAGGAAATGAGAACGAGGAGTTTAGCACCTGCATCCCAAACAGTGGTCACATGCAGTTCCCACAGAGGTGACACAGTGTCAGAGGGCACCCGGCCGGGGAAATGACCCTCACACACAGGCTATGCTGACGCTGGCTCACGGCCACAGACACTCGCAGCTGGGTGACCTGTCAGAGGCCAGACCCCAGCCCCAGCCCCAGGAAGGTGCCCATCCTCTCTCTGATGGCCTCTCAATCCTCTGCCCTCAGATCATCTGGGCCTCTGCTGTGCAAGAGAAACACATTTCCACCCTGTGTGTCCTGCGCCAGCTCAGGTCTGGATGAGTTGAGACACGGCGCTCTGCTGTGTCACTGAGTCAACTCAGGCAACCCACTTCCTCATTCAGGCTTCAGTCTTCTTGCCTATAAAACAGGGCCAATGATCCCTGCCTAGCAAACAGTGAGTACCGGAGAGGCTGGTGGCTGTATAAGTGCTTACTGCTTTATCTTTCTCCCTGCAAGTATGTTCCTGAAGAGCACCAGCCTTGGGGTCCACAAAAGCCCAGAGACAGCAGGGGCTGAGATCCAAATCTCAGTGAGTCCCTCAGTGTCAGTCACTGGACCCTTGTCCTGGAGACACTGGGGACAAGAAAGGCCCAAGGGCAGAAAGCCTGGGAAACTACAATCTACTTGCCTCTGGGGGATTCACAATGCTCACTGCCCAGCCCAGGCTCTGGGAACATACACTCCAAGAACTGTGTTTCAATCCTTTGGCCATGAAACTCACTCTCTTCCTCTCCTTTTTGGAGAAACACCTATCATCATCCGGAAGGCACCCTGGGAAGTGCTGGGCTGCGATTTGTGAGGAACTTGAGAATCCCTGTCCCAAAGAGACAATGGTGAAGGTTTACGGGGCTCTGTACCTTCAGCTTTTAGTGTGTGCTATTGCGTAACAAGTGCTTAATAAGCATTTGATGGGTGAGTGGGTGGATGAATGCATGGATGGATAGACAGATGAATATCTTGTTCTACTCACTTCAAATGGTAAGAATCACAGGGAGGAAGGTGAAAGTGACTCGAGCCCCAAGGACTCAGGGCAGAATCATTCAGAGCCCCTCTAGACCATCAGTTTGGCTAGAGAACAGATGGAACTTCTTCATTCGCTGATTCATTCACACAGCACACAGTGGTAAGAGCAGCATTAGAGATTAGCACGGGAAACCACAGGAACAACCACGAGGGGACAATTAACTAAATGTGGGGGTGCCGGCGGCCAAGGATGGCTTCCTGGAGGTGAGCCTGAAGGGCCCTTTGGGGGAACCCAGCTCAAGGGCTCCAGCCCTCATGCAATTTTTTTCCAGCCACAAGAGTCATGCTTAGGGCTTCTTGGACTGCATAGGCAGCTTCAATCTGATGATTGTGGTCCCCTGGCCTCAACAGAATCCATCTTGGAGCCCCCTTTTAACCCCAAACCCCCATTCCTCCTTGCTGTCAGCTGCTCGTGAGCCTTCTCACATCCAGAGAATGTATCAGCATTCTGCAGACCGAAAAGACCCAAAGGAACAAGGCTCCAATGGCAAAATTCCAACTAGAATGACAAATAAATGGGGAGCTATGTGAAAGCAAGGGAGTTTTGCCCAACACCCCCCACCTCCCAAGCCTTCCTCAGGCACCTCAGACCAGCCACTCACCTCCATCCTCCCAGCACCACCTGCGACCAGCCCCTTGCCCCCTGCAAACTGGTGCATGACTGGATCTTGAGATGGGGGAAAATGCTTCATCATGTTCTGCTTCTTCATGCAAAACCAGAAACTCCCTCCCCCTCTTCCCTCCTCCCCAGCGCACTCTCCTTCCAGTACAATGTGGTTAAAGGGACAGCGCCATCACTTTCTCAGCTCTGAGGGTATGCTTAGAACCAGGGGGCTGGGAAGGAGACAGAGAGTAAAGAGAAAGGAACTGGCAGAGCTCTTTCCTGGGGGATCTGTCTGTTCTGTCCTGGGGATCCTGGAGCAGGAAAGCCGGGTAAAGTAGGGGTGTAGTGGGGATTGAGATACTGCCTGCGGGAAGTTTGGAGTGGGAGCAGCAGTCTACAAACTCTCAAGGGGTCTCAAGGCTCCTGACATCCCCAGGGGTCCTTCTGCAGGGGTACCTATGCAGAAGGAGGAGAGCCCAAATGTGCGTGGGAGAACATCACAGAAAACAGGGAACCGGACCCCTACGGGAACTCAAGGGAGAGGTCCCTAGCTCACTGTGTGACCCTGCTGAATCACTCACTTCCCCTCTCAGGTCCCCAAAGCACAGTGTGCCTCCCTCCACTCCCGTAAAGGTAAAAGCGGAGGTTAAACTCCCCGCACCAGAGAACAGCCCCTGTCCCCGGTGCTGAAGCGCCAGCCGCAGCAGCCACCCCCACTCTTAAGGCATAAAACACGAGCCAAAACCAATAAAGAGCCAAATGTCACGGCCGTTGCACGTCCCCCTTAATCCCGGGGACCCCTTTTTCTACCTAACATCCTATTGGGATGAGGGACTTGGGTACCCAGAAAGCATCCCACCACTTTTCTGGAAGTGAGAAGGGATGCCGACTCAGCTGCTTGCTTGTCTGCCATGGGGGTGGGGGAAGAGAGGACAAGTTGAGGCTGAGAAGATGCGGAGGGGGAAGGAGGAAGGAGGACTTCCTAGTGGTGGGAGAACGGCAAGATGTGGGTCCCCGTCCCCAATTCCCCCAGAGACCCCTCAAAGTGGAACTTCCTGGGGCAGTCGGGGGTCAGGAGTTGTAGCTTGTCTCTGGGGCAAGACCCCTTCGTTTCACAGATGGAAAAGCAAGGGTGGAAGGACACAGCTTGTCCAAGGTCATTCAGCCAGCAAACTGCCTAGCTGACCCCAGTGTGCAGAACCTGGCTCAGCTGACTTCCAGCACACCCATCATTCCCTCCCACCCCACACAGGGGCTCTCTCAGCTTCATGCCCAAGCCCCCCTACAGTATCCGCACTCCAGGTTCTCTGCCCTTCAAACTCAGCCCAGGTTCCTTCTGCCTGCCTATTCAGGGGACCCTCTGTCCGCTTTGCTGAGGGTCCGTCCCCTTTACTGGGGCTGGCAGCAGAGTCTCCCGTCTCCTCTCTTGGGGGCCACTGTAGACTTTTTAAAGAACGCTTTGCCCCACCCAACCCACCCATCCGGGCGTTCCCTCTCGCCATCCTCTGCAGTGTCTCCCATACCCCAATTCAGGGTAGCCTTGCTATTCTGCCCAACTCCAGGCCTCCCTTCCTCTATTCCGGAGTTGGCCGTGGAGCTTCCTGAGCGCTCTCCAAGTGGCTCCTCTCCATTAGGAGAACATTGTACCTCCCCCAGTCAGGGGTCTCCTGTATCCGTTCTATGGACCGTCCACGCCCCCATTCAGGACTGCTTTGCTCCCTCTTCTATTCCGCGTCTGGCTGCACCCCCTCTCCTGAAGGCCTCTCTAACTATTCGGAAAGCCTCGTGTCTTCTCTTACACAGGGATCCCCTCATCCTAATGACTGCAATCTTCCATTGCCCCATTCCGAGGGCACTCTGCCCCTATTCCCATCAGGTCTCCTTGTCCTCTCACTGTTCCAGGTCCCCTTTCTTATTCCGAACACACTCTCAGGATCTTCGGACGCGCACCCGGGGGTCCTCACAGGCCCACTCCGGGAGTCCTCTGCCCGCTGCCCCGACCTCGGGGGTCTCCTCTGACGCAGCGTCGATTCCCTTTTCCTCCTCAATCCCCTGCCCCGCCCCTCTCACTGCGGCGGAGCCGGTCGGCCGGGGGCCCGCAGGGGAGGAGGCGGAGAAGGCGGGGCCCTCCTCCCCACCCCCTCACTGCCAAGGGGTTGGACCCGGCCGCGGTGGCTATAAAAGGGCCGGCGCCCCGGTGCTGCCGCAGTGCCTCCCGTCCCGCCCCGGCCCCGCGCACCTGCTCTGGCCATGATGAGCTTCGGCGGCGCGGATGCGCTGCTGGGCGCCCCGTTCGCGCCGCTGCACGGCGGCGGCAGCCTCCACTACGCGCTGGCCCGAAAGGGCGGCGCCGGCGGGACGCGTTCAGCCGCCGGCTCCTCCAGCGGCTTCCACTCCTGGACGCGGACGTCTGTGAGCTCCGTGTCCGCCTCGCCCAGCCGCTTCCGCGGCGCAGGCGCCGCCTCGAGCACCGACTCGCTGGACACGCTGAGCAACGGGCCGGAGGGCTGCGTGGTGGCGGCGGCCGCGGCGCGCAGTGAGAAGGAGCAGCTGCAGGCGCTGAACGACCGCTTCGCGGGCTACATCGACAAGGTGCGGCAGCTGGAGGCGCACAACCGCAGCCTGGAGGGCGAGGCCGCGGCGCTGCGGCAGCAGCAGGCAGGCCGCGCCGCAATGGGCGAGCTGTACGAGCGCGAGGTCCGCGAGATGCGCGGCGCAGTGCTGCGCCTGGGCGCGGCGCGCGGTCAGCTGCGCCTGGAGCAGGAGCACCTGCTTGAGGACATCGCGCACGTGCGCCAGCGCCTAGACGACGAGGCCAGGCAGCGCGAGGAGGCCGAAGCAGCGGCCCGCGCGCTCGCGCGCTTCGCGCAGGAGGCAGATGCGGCGCGCGTGGAACTGCAGAAGAAGGCGCAGGCGCTGCAAGAGGAGTGTGGCTACCTGCGGCGCCACCACCAGGAGGAGGTGGGCGAGCTGCTCGGCCAGATCCAGGGCTGCGGCGCCGCGCAGGCGCAGGTACAGGCCGAGGCGCGCGACGCCCTCAAGTGCGACGTGACGTCGGCGCTGCGCGAGATCCGCGCGCAGCTTGAGGGCCACGCGGTGCAAAGCACGCTGCAGTCCGAGGAGTGGTTCCGAGGTGCGCAGGCGCTCGGGGGGTGGGAAGGGGCAACCCCGCTGACCCCGCAGCGAGCGTCGGGGCGGTGTGACCCGAGGGGCGGCTGCAGGACTGCGTATAGAGTCGTGCACTGCTCAACTTCTCTCTGCGAAGTCCTTACCCCTAGTTAAATCGCGGTTTTACTCTGGGTCTCTTGTGGGATGCCCCAACTCTGGGTTGTCCTTCGGTTGCCGGTTTCCAGGTTCTTTATGGCTGTACTTTAACTTTGGGCCCCCTACTGCTCTCTACCCCAAGCTTGGGCGACCCCGCACTGAGGTTCCCTCCCCTGTCAAGAACAAAGCAAGTTTCCTCTATCGCTCCAAAGTGGTGCAGGATTCCGGTCTGCAAGCGCCAGAGACTCTTAGCCCTTATAAGTAAGAAGCCTTCCCCGCAACGCTGCGGTCCCCTCTCCTGCACCCTGCAGGGAACCCTATTCCTCTCACCCCTACCAGGCTCCTCCCTTCTACCTGCTCAGTGCTTAACCTCCTTACTTTCATCTTCCACGTGGGGTGGAGCAGGGCCTTTTCGCATCCTTTTTTCCTAGGGGGAACCATTACCACAATTAATTGCCTGTGGCCGAAGTGGCAGGTGGGCCCTTTCATGTTTTAATGTCCCCTTTCTCCTTTAGGAAAGCTGGGAGCCTCCCAAGTCTGCCCCTCCCCCAACTCCTTGCAGCCCTGAGTCAGCTAGATTGCACTGTCTGAGGCTGTGCCTGGCGGCTGCTGGGTGACCTTGATCAACACTTGCCCTCTCTGATTCTCATTTCTTGTTGAGTTGAAAGAGTGGGGTATACCAACTGGGCTGCTTAATCCGGGGAGTTCCTTGATCTCTCACGAAACTGTTTATAAAACTTTGCATTGTTTTTGGGAGACAGGGCAGAGACTTCAATGATTTTCAAATAGGTCTGTGATCTACAATAGTTGAGAATCCCTAACCACCTTGATGGTTTCTAAGTCTTTGCCAGCACTAGCAGGGAAAGCCAGGCAAACTGGGGTTTGGATGCTTAGCTTTTTCTGTTCCTTTTCCACTCCTCTGCAGAGCAGAACCTTACCATCCCCTCTTCCATCCCCGCAGCAAGGCTCCTCCCTGCGCAAACCTTTTTTGGGTTTGCCAGTCATAGGGGCAGGCGTCCCAGGATTTTTTTTTTTTTTTTTCGTATTTTTAGTACAGACAGGGTTTCTCCATGTTGGTCAGGCTGGTCTCGAACTCCCTACCTCAGGTGATCTGCCTGCCTCAGCCTCCCAAAGTGCTGGAATTACCGACGTGAGCCACCGCGCCTGGCCTAATCCCAGGATTTTACTGGCCTACTCAGCCTACTTCCTCCCTCCCCACCAAGACTTATGGCCTGGGTGCCACTTATCTGGGGATTTAGGATGCTCACTTTCAGGAGCTAGAGGCCAGTCTCCAGACCTCCACTGCCCCTGGAAGGTTTCCTGGGAACCAGGAGCTGGTTGTTGGCAGGGACTGGGGTGTGGCTGCCATTGCTTAAGGGTGATTCGCAGCTAGGTGGAGAAAGGGACAGAAAGGTTAGCACCCAGGCCTCAGGCTCTGCAGTGACCTTGGACTCTTCACGTAAACTTGTAAGGAAGGGACCATGGCTACAAGGTGACCTGATTGCTCGCGGTACCCTCCTGCCTCCTAAAGGTTACAAGCTCATTAACATGTTCAGCCACAAGCTTCCAGCCTCCAACTCAGTGTTAAGCCCCATGGGCCAGGTATCACATCTGAACCCCCAACACTGCCAGGCCCTTGCTAGGAAGCTGGACCAGGCATTAGGACCTGGGTTTCCTCTGCCCTGCCCAGTTTTTGGATCCCACACTGGGGGAGACAGAGCCTGATCTTGGGGATTTGAGTCCCAGCTCTGCCACTCACTGGCTGGGTGGCCTTGGGGAGTAGTCACTTGCCTTTATCTCACAGGACAGAGTGAGTCAAGCATCCAGGATGGTACCTGGTACCCAGCAGGCCAATCCATGTGTGTCACCTTCAAAGTCCGGACGTTAGAACCCAAATCCAGGTGTGTCTAACCCTGTGCCCTACTCTCTTCTCCCCCAGTGAGGCTGGACCGACTGTCAGAGGCAGCCAAGGTAAATACAGATGCCATGCGCTCAGCGCAGGAGGAGATAACTGAGTACCGGCGTCAGCTGCAGGCCAGGACTACAGAGCTGGAGGCACTGAAGAGCACCAAGGACTCCCTGGAGAGGCAGCGCTCTGAGCTGGAGGACCGTCATCAGGCCGACATTACCTCCTACCAGGTGGGCAGGGGCAAGGCAGATGGTCACACCGCCTTACCTGATTGGGTAACCCTGGACAAGTGACTGCCCCTCACCGAGTAGGGTTGTAGTGGTTAAGACTGTAGCCCTTGGAGTCAGACATACCAGCACTTTCCAGCTGCGTGAGCCTAGGAAAGTTATCTAATTCTCTGAATCCAAATTCCTTTCCAGCAATGAAAAAATAATAATAAGCCTGCCTTGCAGAGCTGGAAAGATTAAAGAGATAGACTTTTATTTATTTATATATTTGTTTTGAGATGGAGTCTCACTTTGTTGCCCAGTCTGGAGTGCAGTGGCATGATCTCAGCTCACTGCAACCTCTACCTCATGGGCTTAAGAGATTCTTGTGCCTCAGCTTCCCAAGTGGCTGGGACTACAGGTGTGTGCCACCACACATGGCTGATTTTTGTATTTTTAGTACAGATGGCGTTTCACCACGTTGGCTAGTCTGGTCTCAAACTCCTGAGCGCAGGCAGTCCTCCTGCCTTGGCCTCCCAAAGTGCTGGGATTACTGGTGAGCCACTACACCTGGCCTCAAGAGATAGACTTTAAATGAGATTAGCGTACTTGTGAATGAGCTTGGCATGGTCTCCGACATTCGATTCTTTCTAGATTTTAATTCCAGCTCTGCCACTCACTAGCTCGGTCTTGGTCACAATGGACATTTCATAAACAGCAACCAGTGTCTTTGGGTGGCCAGGGGAAGGCCTTGGCAGATTCCTCCTTTTAAAGATAACTGGTGGCCAGGCATGGTGGCTCATGCCTGTAATCCCAGCACTTTGAGAGGCCAAGGCAGGCAGATCACTTCAGGTTGGGAGTTTGAGAACAGGCTGGCCAATACGGTGAAACCCTATCTTTACTAAAAATATAAAAATCAGCCAAGCGTGATGGCTCACACCTGTAATCCCAGCTACTAGGGAGGCTGAGAAAGGAGAATCACTTGAACCCAGTGGCAGAGGTTGCAATGAGCCGAGATCATGCCACTGCATTCCAGGCTGGGCAACAAAAATAAATAAATAAATAATACAAAAATACAAAAAAAATTAGCTGAGTGTGGTAGCATGTGCCTGTAGTCCCAGCTACTCAGGAGGCTGAGGCATGATAATCTCTCGTGCCCAGGAGTCAGGGGTTTCAGTGAGCCGAGATGGTGCCACTGCACTCCATCCTGGGCAACAGAGTAACAGTCTGTCTCAAAAAGTAGAAAATAAAAATAAGGACAACTGGTGAGAGAAAGTACCACTTTCTAAGAACTTAGCATGCAAGTAATATATAATATATAGTGATTATAGAATAATTAGAAAATCGAGAAAAAAGAGGAGACGATGAAATTTGCCATAATAATTCCCATTAAACAGTGGCTACAGTGGGCCTGGGGTTGGGCGAGAAATTTCAAGTCTCCCCAAATCCCAGGACCAAGTTTCAAGTTTGAATGCGCTTCTGAGTGTCGTCTCAGTCATCAGTACTTACCAGACCCTGACTATGTGGCGGACACTGCGGCTCACTGAGGAAAGACAGGAGCAAAAGCAGACAAGGCCCTGCTCCCACTGTGCTGCTTTTTTTTTTTCTTCTTTTTTGAGACACAGTCTTGCTCTGTAGCCCAGGCCAGAGTGTAGCGGCGAGATCATAGCTCACTGCAGCCTTGAACTCCTGGGCTCAAGTGATCCTCCTGCCTCAGCCTCCTGAGCAGCTGGGACTACAGGTGTACATTACCATGCCCAGCTAATTATTTAATTTTTTTCTAGAGATGAAGTCTCACTGTGTTCCCCAGGCTGGTCTCAAACTCCTGGGCTGAAGCCATCCTCCTGCCTTGGCCTCCCAAAATGCTGAAATTACAGGTGTGAACCACCAGAGTCTTGCCATGTTGCCCAGGCTGGAGTACAGTGGTGCGATCTCAGCTCACTGTAACCTCCACCTCCTGAGTTCAAGCAATTCTGCCCTCAGCCCCTCAAGTAGCTGGGATTACAGGCATGCGCCACCACACTCAGCACATTTTTGTATTTTTAGTAAAGACAGGGTTTCACCATGTTGGCCAGGCTAGTCTCGAACTCTTGAACTCAAATGATCCACCCGCCTCACCTTCCCAAAGTGTTGGGAATACAGGCATGAGCCACCACTCCCATCCTCACTGAGCATTTTCTAAGTTCAAGATCTCCAAAAGTTCTCCCATTATCCTGCCAACCAAACCAGCAATAACCACTGTTGACGTCTGATGAATTTCATTCTAGACCTTTCCCAGGCCAAGGTCATTATTCAGCAGGATTTTTGCTCCAGATTGTTTCATGTCAACTACTGAAGACCTTACAGCTCTGACACAGTAGGGGTTGGCCCCAGCGAGCCTGGCTGGATGGGCCTGCTCTGGGGTTGCACAGCCCGCCGCAGCTTTCCTGGTACTGAGGGTCAGGCTCTGGCTGGCATGTGACATGTAGCACTTCTCCTCCCCAGGAAGCCATTCAGCAGCTGGACGCTGAGCTGAGGAACACCAAGTGGGAGATGGCAGCCCAGCTGCGAGAATACCAGGACCTGCTCAATGTCAAGATGGCTCTGGATATAGAGATAGCCGCTTACAGGTGAGGTGCACAGGGGCCGTCACATGGTGGAGAAACCTTGTGTTCCTACCAGATGCTAAGCCTTGGGTTTCAAACCCCTGTTTAGGCAGCCTACCTGTCTTAGGGACAAAAGTCTTTTAAAATTGCGGCAAAATAGACATAATATAAAATTTGCAATTGAACCAATTTATTTTATTTATTTATTTATTTATTTTTAAGATGAAGTCTTGCTCTGTTGCCAGGCTGGAGTGCAGTGGCATAATCTCAGCTCACTGCAACCTCCGCCTCCCAGGTTCAAGTGATTCTCCTGCCTCAGCCTCCTGAGTAGCTGGGATTACAGGCGCGTGCCACCACACCTGGCTAATTTTTATATTTTAGTAGCTACAGGGTTTCACCATGTCAGCCAGACTGGTCTCAAACTTTTGACCTTGTGATCTGCCTGCCTCGATCTCCCAAAGTGCTGGGATTACTGGAGTTAGCCACCGTGCCTGGCCTATTTATTTTTTTGAGACAGAGTCTTACTGTGTTGCCCAGGCTGGAGTGCAGTGGTATGATCTCTGCTCATTGCAACCTCTCCTTCCCAGGTTCAAATGATTCCTGTGCCTCAGTCTCCTGAGAAGTTAGGATTACAGGTGCCTGCCATCACACCTGACTTATTTTTATATATTCTTTTAGTGGAAACGGGGTGTCACCATGTTGGCCAGGCTGGTCTCGAACTCATGGTCTCAAGCCATCTGCCCACCTCAGCCTCCCAAAGTGTTGGGATTGCAGGCGTGAGCCACCACGCCCAGCCCCATTTAACCATTTTGAGTAGATGGTTCCGTGATATTAAGTACATCGATGTTACTGTGCAGCCATCACCATCGTCTGTCTCCGTAACTGTTTTCATCATCCCAAACTGAAACTCCATACCCGTGAAACCGTCATTATCATTCTCTCCTTCCCTCAGCCCCTGGCAGCCACTGTTTTACTTTGTGAGAAACATGAGTCTTTTTTTTTTTGAGATGGAGTCTCACTGTCGCCCAGGCTGGAGTGCAGCAGCAGAATCTCGGCTCACTGCAAACTCTCTCTCCTGGGTTCAAGTGATTCTCCTGCCTGAGCCTCCCGAGTAGCTGGGATTACAGACGCACGCCACCACACTCGGCTAATTTTTGTATTCTTTGTAAAGACCAGGTTTCACCATGTTAGCCAAGCTGGTCTTCAGCTCCTAACATTGGGTGGTCTACCCACTGTGGCCTCCCAAAGTGCTGGGATTACAGGTGTGAACCACTGAGCCCAGCCAATGAGTCTTGAGAGTGACTTTCATTCCGAAATGATTTAGAAGGGTGGAAGTTCCTCATCCCCTCTCCAAATCCAGCCAGTCAGAGGCCTGCTTTGGAGGCAAAAGAGGTGCTTGAGTTGTCAGGGGCCTTTAAAACTCTATCCTTTAGAGTTTCTTTGCTCTGCTCCCTGTAACTTCTGCCTCCTGAGTTCAAGTGATTCTCCTGCCTCAGCCTCCCAAGTAGCTGGGATTAGAGGTGTGTGCCACCACAGTCAGCTAATTTTTTTTTTTTTTTTTTTTTTGAGATAGAGTCTTGCTCTGTTGCCAGACTGGAGGGCAGTGGCGTGATCTCAGCTCACTGCAACCTCTGCCTCTTGGGTTCAAGTGATTCCCCTGCCTCAGCCTCCCACGTGGCTGGGACTGCAGGCGTGCATAACCAGCTAATTTTTTTTTTTTTTTTTTTTGTATTTTAGTAGAGACGGGGTTTCACCATGTTGGCCAGGATGGTTTCAATCCCTTGACCTCGTGATCTGCCCACCTCAGCCTCCCAAAGTGCTGGGATTACAGCAAGCATTCATTTCTTGGGGAAATAAAGTGGAGATGATAATAAGAGCACCCATGTCATAGGGTTGTCAGGAAGAAGAGCTCATCCTGTTCCCAAGCTAATCCAGGAAGCACAGGTACCACTGGGCTGCCAGAGAGGGAGCCCTTAGTCAATGGCAGCCTTGAGAAAGCCAGTCTCAGGAATAAGACCTGGGGGAGGGCCGGGCACGGTGGCTCAAACCTGTAATCCCAGCACTTTGGGAGGCCGAGGCGGGTGGATCACGAGGTCAACAGATCGAGACCATCCTGGTCAACATGGTGAAACCCCGTCTCTACTAAAAATACAAAAAATTAGCTGGGCATGGTGGCACGTGCCTGTAATCCCAGCTACTCAGGAGGCTGAGGCAGGAGAATTGCCTGAACCCAGGAGGCGGAGGTTGCGGTGAGCCGAGATCGCGCCATTGCACTCCAGCCTGGGTAACAAGAGCAAGACTCTGTCTCAAAAAAAAAAAAAAAGACCTCGGGGAGCAGGGCTAAGGAGCAGGACTGATCACCCAAGGACCTGTCCCAATTGCTGACTGGTGAATCATGGCTTCCTACCTCTTGGCCCTCATCTGTAATCTTGCAGCTCAAAGCATGGCACATGAACAGCGCAATCGGCATCATTCAAGAGCTTATTAGAAAGATAGTCTCTCTGTTGGGTGTAGTGGCTCATACCTGTAATCCCAGCACTTTGGAAGACAGGACCAAGGAGGACAGATTGTTTGAGTTCAGGAGTTTGAGACCAGGCTGGGACGCATGGCAAAATCCCATCTCTTTAAAAAAAACAAAAAAAAAGATGGCTTTAATGCAACACACCTTTAGTCCCAACTATTTGGGAGGCTGACATGGGAGGTGGGAGGATCACCTGAGCCCAGGAGTTCGAGGCTGCATTGAGCAATGATTATACCACTGCACTCCAGCCTGGGTGGCAGAGTGAAACCCTGTCTCAACAACAACAACAACAAAGACAGACTCTCAGGCTCCTCCCCAGACCTGCTGAATCTCAATCTGCATTTTGCTAAGATCCCCGGTCATCTGGGAAGAACTGGTCTGAGGTGGTAACCCCCACCTCAGAAGATAAACCCCTTCTGAGACTGGTACTCTGCCAAGTCTTTTCCATTCATTGTCTCACTGAAACAACCCTCTGGCCTAGGGATGCTAATGACCCTCTTTTTCCAATGAGGAAATTGAGGCTCAAAGAGTTTGTATGTCTTGGCCAAGTAGCCCATCTAGTGAGGAGCAAAGCCAAGAGGGGAAACTGGCCTCTACCCTATTCCTAAAACTCAAGATGGTAATATGGGGTGACAGGAGAACCTCATGATTCAAATCTGGAAGCATTCTAAGACCTCTTAAACCCAGATTTATAAAAGGGGGATTGTTTGCTCAGACTCCCAGGGGTCTCTTGAATAATATTTCAGTTTGAGGGATAATACATTTAACTTTTGTGAAATTTATTTAGGAGCTTTCTCTTGGCCATTTTTTTTAGGGGGCAGAAGTTGTTTTACTTCAAAAGTTGTTTTATTTCAAAAGCTTAGTTGCATTGAAGAAGACCGGTTGCTCCAGCCTGGGCAACAGAGTGAGACCCTGTTTTTGCTCCAGCC